CCTGGCGCGCTTTTCGTTTTACTTGTGTTTTTCTTTCGCTCTCTTATTTTTCGTCTGACATTTTGTTTGACACTTAACGGACATTCGTCAAAGCGGACAGAGGGGCAGGGGCCAGAGGTCCGTCCATTTCTCTAAGCAAATGATAGATAACAGAACAGATCCCCACCGAAAAATGTACCGTTACATTGTTGTATTTACAGTTAGACACGAGGCAGCAGTAACGACGTCATCGAAAACACTTTGTAAAGGCAAACAAAAAAAAACAAAAAAAACTAAAGAAAATCGAAATGAAACTCAGAAATGCAATCGTGTGCCGAAGCTCCGTTTGAGATTAAAGCAGTAGCTCCCCTCCCTCTCTTTCTATCATTCTATAGCTCGCTCTCCCTCCCACTCACACACTATATAATGCTCTCCCTCTTTCACTCATGCTGTGGATACGAAAATAACGAGCAACCGCAAAATGTTTACGAGCCTCAAATAAAACATGCACAAAAATGTCATAAAAAGAAAAGAAAGAGAATGTGTAAGAAGCGTGGAGCTACAAGAAGAAGGAGAAGAAAAGGGTGGGTTAGAAGCAAGAACCGTTAGAAGTGCAGTGCAACGTGGGATTAATGATCATGGGCATGCCCTCCTATTGCTGCATTGGCATACATATCTACATGTAAATCATTTTGCTTCAAATATACATACATATATGGAACATATTTTAGTCTTAATTAATCTTTAACTCCCTCATGGACATATTCTGAAAGTCAATCGTATGCAGATGTACATACATACATACATACATATCTCCAAGCATGACCCCTTCAGTCGAATGCAATTGGAACTTATTCTAAAAACCCCCAAAAATACCCTTAATTTTCAAAAGATCATTAAGGCACTCATCCCATTCTTCTGATCGTCAGAGTATTTAGTAGTCGTGGGGTTATGGTCTGTCTCATTATGACTTTTCTATGAGGTGACGTTCCAAGCGGAATAGATTGCAAATAAAGTATGAAAAGACATTTGTTGTTGTTGTTGTTGTTGGTGTTGGTGTTTGTGTTTGGTGGCATGTGCAATGTCGTAACTAGCTCCATCTTCCCTTACTCCGCCATTATCTCTCTCTCTCTCCCTCTCTCGCACTTTCTGTCTCTTTGATTATCACTCCATCTCTTTCTGCTGTTAGTGGATTTTATGCACTTGAGACGCCGCCATTTGGGTACTTGAAAAGTCTACACGCGCCGACATTTGGCCTAGACCCCGACTACCAGAAGCTACCTTCCCCGCACCATCCATCACCCCACCCTATTGATGGCTACCACGTTTTTTAAACACCTTTTTGCGCATTTTCCCCCCCACACACTCTCACCTACACCACCAACACACTGCACCATTCACCTTCGTAGACACGCGCCTCTTTTTTTTTTTTTTTTTTCTATTTACCAGCAAAAACAAAAAACTTACAATAAAAAACCAAAAGAAAAAAAAAAGAAGCAAAAACAAAAAATTACGATAATAGCAAATAGAACGAGTGGAAAAGAGATAGAACTGAGTGAATAGAAGGGAGTAAGTGGACGCTTGGGGGTGCTAAAAGATAGAGGCAGAATTGAGACTCATTTGTATACTCTTCTGTGAGGGCGGGGTATTGTGATTTTTAGGGTTTTGGAAAGACAAAAAACGATGGTTTTTCGATGCATATTGCATATATGCATATTCTTGATCAGAATTTATATTAGAAGAAACCATGTAAAACGCAAATATCGCTACGGCTAAAACTGCCAAAAAAAACACTGGATAGTAGGGCTAAATCTTTCATGAAGAGATCAATTTTGTTTTCAAAGATAAATTCAATAAAATGTTGGAATCGTTCTATTTACAATGTTTCCATAGAAAATACCCTTTGAAATTCCCATATATATCAAAACTAAAACTTAACTTTCATTAGTTTATGTTTCAAAATCAAAAGGCCTGTAGCCCATATCTACCATCGAAAACAACCCTCTTGCAGGGTATTTAAAGCTTCGGTTACTCCCCCCAAAAGCCTCGCTTTCCTTCTTGTTTTGTTTTTTTTTGTAGTTGTAGTTTACGTTTACTACAAAGTAAATGTCAAGTGCGAATCAACATACGAGTAGTGCTCTGTGAGTGTTTTTCGAATGTGTGTGAGTGAATGTTGTGAGTGTATGTGTGACTGGGTGAATGTAATGCCGAGTGGGGGTATTGCTCGTCTCTCTCTCTCTCTCCCCCCCCCTCTAGTAAAATGGCCTTGGGAACGTTTGTTAACCTCATTTTGATAAAGTAACAACAAGAAAAACACCAGCCAGCACCAGCACCAGCACCCGGAAAAATATAAATAAAAATCGTTGCCTGGCACGTCAGCAGGTCCATAAAGGGGGGGTACCAGGGGGCACCGATGGGTGTGTGTGGGTTTAACTTAGGGGCTGAGGCTGGGGCAGGGGTATATGTAAATCAGGAAAAACATGAAAAATTCTCAAGCTGTTCGCACCACACACTTGTGCGAATGCGAGTGCGAGTGCCAGTGCGAGTGCCAGAGTGGCTGCTGTCTGGGGCACAGTGTCAGTTAATATTTAATAAAGAAAATAGCAACAAAAACAAAACAAGAAAAAGTCATAGAAGGCGAGCAAGAGGAGGGCAACAACTAGAGCAGGAACTCAGGGATATTGAAAGCAAAGAAAAACTAATGGAAACAATTTGAATGCTCTAAAAGAGATAGAAATTTAACAGGTTGGGCAGCTTACAGATCTTTAGAGATCGATAAGCTGTTGCTCGATGGATAATCGATCAATTCAACAGTAAATCGATAAGCAGGAACCCATAAATATCGAGTTCGATGAGTTCTAACTTATATTTGAAGAAGAACAAAACTAAAAAGTATCATAAGTCCGATAAATTAATGATAAATTGTACTGATAATATATAAATAGAAACAAAAACCAACTCTCAATTAATGGAGCTACAGAAGAAATAGTAAATATTTTTCCGTTTGTATGGAAAATAAGTGTGAGCCCAATTTCAAGAAGTGTAATCGACATTCAGCAGCTTGGCTCCTGAGTGTAGACTCCACCAGGAACCCAATCGCATTGCAATCGAAATGAAAAGCAAATATGGATTACAAAAAGCGGATTCTATTTATAAAGGTGTGTCCCCCACCCGTCGTACGTAATAAACTCTGGGCAAATACATATGTATGTACATATGTATGTCCCATGATCAATAGAAAGCGAATCATGCAATTAGCGAAACTTGTGACTCTCCACGTTTTGGGGTCTTGTGATTCTATGACTTTTGTTTGCCCTGTTCTGAGAACGTACCCTCCTCCCCCTCCCACGCCGGGCACATCATTATGCAATGCCACAAACAAAAGTCCACAGCCCAACAAAAAAAAACAGCATAAGTAAATTACGTATACGCCATGATAACCGTCAAAGTGCCTTGGAAGTGAGGGATGTATTTTTTCTTTTAATGCAAATGCAATGTCAAAATAAATCAAATCAAATCGAATCGAATCGCATAATATCCACCAATAACAAATCTTGTTAATGCATTATTTTTTTATACACTCTTTTTTTATATGGCAGGAATGCCATTCCCCTTCGATATTTCGCGACTTATGGCGTCGTAATTTTGTTGGCCATTTGTTTTGGCCAAGTTTAATGACTTGACTGGATGAAAGAAAGAGGAAGAGAGAAGTAAGTGTGTGGTTGAGTAAACCCAAGCGCTGCCCTGAAACGGTGCCGGGCCCCCCCACCATTGTGGGAAGTGGATTTTGGGCACACGCCTTCGAGTTCTTCCAGGGTATATTCACTGTTCAGGTGAGGCAGTGCGGGATTAGGCTCCCCCAGTGTAGCGGTACTACCTTACCCTTGCTCAAATCTAGCTTCGCCTTCGCCTTCCCATTCTCATTCTCGTCTTTGCTTTGATTTCCTTCATTCGATCGTTTTGATTTTTGACCGCACTTGAACCTAGTCTTTCGCCCCTCCAGCAGCACAACCCTCCCCCTCCCTTGGAGGTTATCCCCATCACACTGCCAAAGTGCGTGGCGAATGCCAAAGTCAAAACAGAAATCACGAAATACTGAAGGAAAAAAAAACGTGCGAAAAAAAGCGAAAATTTCTAGAACATTCGACGGCAACAAAAACCACAACAAATTATGGGTAAGGTTCCCAGCGCCATGTGTAGGGTTAATGACATCTACAGTACAAACAACAACATCCAAAACAATAGCCTCCCCCCGCCTCCTTCTCACACACTCTGTCTCTATCTCGCTCTCACTCGTTGTAAGCCAAGAAAAAAAAATCAACAAAAACAATCTTTGAGTGGGGAGTCGCGCGAATGAAACAAAAAGTGTCTTTGCTTACAAGGCCTCTCTTTTTATTTTCTTGCTTTTACTCCCTCTATTCTATACACCTTATACCTTCTCTCTGTCTCTTCTACACTATCTCTCTTCTGCTGCCCTGCCTTTCCCTCTTCTTTATTTTTCAACCAATGTCATTAACATTTCAAGCACCAACAAAAGCTCTAAGCGTTTTGCTATCTCTTTTGCACTTGAAAGAACCAATTCTACAGACCCTCCTCCTCTACCCACCCAACCCTTGTTCTACCCACCCAACCCCTACTCAAGAACAGGTTCGCTCGCACAAGAACAACAACCTCTGTTGCCTCGAGTCGATGGCTTCCCACCAGCCAACCAACCCCCTGAAGAACGTCCCTGACACATCGTTCATATGCAGGGAGAGTTGGAAGATCATCGTTTTGGGCGCAATAGACGATCTTTTGATACTCTTTTGGAGGGGGGTAGTGGAAGTGGAAGGGAGCTCCGTTTACTCTCCGGGTAGAATAATGAGTATATTTTGAAATGCTTTTGAGGTGATCGACTCAATCAATAATGAACACTAACCTATCGAATCAAAGAGATAATATATCTGGCTCAATCAATAATAATAAATTATGTGACATTTTATTGCTTTTAAATAATTTTTGTGGTATAGCTAAAAACTCACCTGTAATGTCAGGGTATTCCCATTACAGACTTGTGGTTTGGGGGTCGGTCTTCGGTTTGCTTTTTTCGCTATTATCTATTTTGGCAATGCTTCTCCACTATTCACTCCTCCCTCCCCCTTCATCCACTCTCTCTCTCTCGCTCTCTTTTTCTAGCTGTCTGGTTATGTTCCACTTTTTAACGGGGGTATTGCGACTTAATCTGAAAAACTAGGAAGAAGAATGTTGAATGTTGAAATGCGGTTCGGAATCGCTGTTTAGGAGAAGACATTGGGGAGAGGGCGGCGGCAATGGCAACAACAGCGGAAAACTTTTTCAAGTTTTATTGAACTTTGGCGCAGGTTCTTTCTTTTCTTCTCTTCTGCCTCCCCATCCCCATTTCGTTTAGTACTTACCCCTCCATCTACGTACTCTTTGTTTCAGTGTTCCCCCCGTACCTCTAGCCACTCATTCTTTCAGTGTTTTTTGTTTTTTTTTTTTTTTTGCACAAATTGCGAAATTTATTTAAATTCTGTTTTGGCTGCTTCTTCTGTCTCTGTTGTGTCTGTTGCTCTTTTTCCATCCTTTTTGTTGTTTTTTTCTGGGGTTTCTTCTGTAATGAAAAGCGCCAACAAGCTAATGATGAAATATCTGCCAGACTTTGCACTGCGCAGTTTTTACAGATATGTATATGTATAAATGTTTTGGTATTGCTTTTGGGGCCAATACTCTGCCCGTGACTCTCCAGATTGAGAGCTGGAGACCTGAAGTGCTGCCGCATTCTTTTGAGGGGGCGGGCGGAGTAGAGCTTGGGTTGGCGACTGGGGAACGTGCCAGAAATCAGAAATCGCTGTGGCAATGGAATGCGGCAACGAGAACTAAAGCGGATCGATCGACAGATCGGACGACTCTGCGACTCTGAGAAGGTGTCACATGTGTCGCTGTAGTACTCGTGTCGCGTATTGTAGCTGTTTCTCTGGCAAACAGGTCGTATGCGTAATATTCAATGTTTTTTTTCTTGCTTACTGGGGTTTATAGACGGGCCATTGACTTTGGTCGGGGGACTGCGGCTTTTGGGCCATAAACAGAAATGCCGTCAACGATCGTGGCCCATGGTATTGGGGGCCACAAATGCGAAGCAAAAACAAATGGTTTTATCTGTGAGTCACACATTTTAGGAGGAATTTTCATGAGATCACAGTTCAAGATTGACGGGGTGGGGTTAGGTGGGGGTAAAAGAGGTAAATTGTGTCATGATTTTAGTTTTAAGATCTATTTGGAGTTCTGGAAAGTTTCTGGCAGTTCAGTGAATATATTTGAAGATCAGTTGAAGATCGTTTTCGAAAAGATTTTTTCTGAAAGTTTCCGAACATTTGTTTTTGATTTTATAAAAACAATTTGATTACTAAATAATAATTTTAGATATAAATTGATCTTAAGATGAATATAGACTGCAGATCAATGCTTTTGCAAGGCTTTAAATTTGAAGATCTCTAGATCTCTGTGAAAAAAAGAAGATGAAAATGTGGAAACAAAGGTCTTGTGATCTCTTTTTGGCTTGATACCTTTTAGAGCCATGCCAAATCTAATGTGAGCTCCATAATTATCATACCTATGTAACCATTGATTATCTGACCATTTACGCACTCTTCTATGGGATTGTGGATCCGCTCGTGTCGCATTAAAATCCTGATCATGTGAGAGCCATGACGGGGCCCCGTCAGTCACATGAGTGAAGGGGGCCAGGCCACAGCAAATCCATCGAGAAACTGAGTCACATTCCTACATTCATTTGCCCCAATGGATGATTAGCGATGGCCCAAAAATAAATAGCTTTCGTTTCTATTTATGAACCAGAAGCAGAAAAACATAGCAGAAGAAATAAAGAGCCCACGCCACAACCGCCACACACAAAAAATTTGTATCTCATGATCGATTCGATTCGATTTCATAATCGTATTATATTATTTTCAAACAAAGGTCAGCAATGTTTTTGTCGCAGCTATTTATAGAATAGTAGGTACGTGCCGTGTATCTATATCTATATCTTTAACTGATTATCATGGGGTATGGAGGTAACGGGAATGACGTTAACATGTATCGCTCGGGGTATTCCCGGACGAGAAATGCTATAGAAACAAATCAGTTAACGAAACTATAAACAAACGGATATTGCTGTTTGTTGTTTACGACCCGTGATTAACACTTTGTCGCCGCCCGATCGGCCCGAGCGAAATTCATGGAAATTCTCTACCCTACCCTCCTACCCGCTCACCGCTGGCTGCCACCACTCGACAGTCCAGAGACCTGCCGCGTGCCGGACACTGCCATGAAAGTTTTCATCACAATTCACACTCGTCGTCTAATCAAGTTGTTTGCCCAATAGTTTCTTCCACACACATACACACACACACACACCACAAGCACACACGTAATTAACGTCGATGAAGCAAACAACACAGAAAACATAAAACATGACTTGAAAAAACTGCCGTGTAATGGTCAGTGGATACCCCTAATACCCCCTTCCTACCTTACTTCCTTCCTTCTTAAGGGAATGACTTGTAAATGACACTCTGAAATAACAAAGAGGGTAGCAGTTGGGGGTTTCGGCAGCAGCGGAAACATGGTAAGGGTTACGCTTACAGATGGGAGTACTATGGCATACCAGCGCGAAGATTGTGACGCGCCGAGATCCCAAGCGCAAATGCATGTCAATCGAGGGGCGGCCCTGCTGCACACACCTCACCTCTCTTTCTTAAGTTCTCTATCAGAATTAAATTTAATCCAAATTCTATTAATATAACTAAACCAGAATTACAAAAACCTCTCACAGCATTAGTACTTATTTTTTAAAATTGTATTCCTTTTAAGTTAAAAAGTTTTAACTCTCTCTTCATTCTCTTTTTCATATTGCATAGGGCATCCCCATAGTCGCTATCTTTTGTATTCTCACACAAACTGTTTACATTTGGTGTTTTTGTTTTGGTTTTAATTTTGTTTTTGGGGCGTGAAAAGTTCGAAGATCGCACCAATAAACACACACACAATCACACACGCACACAGTGAAAATTGTCGCTTGTATAAGACAATTTCCAATGATTTTATAGGCTTTTTTGATACCCCCCATATATTTAGATATAACAAATTAGAAAGGAACAGCGTTGGAATCTTTAACAGTAAGTAGGGGAATCCTTAGGCCAGGGGAATCTTCCCCATTACGATTATGATCCTACCAATATATGTGGACCCCTGTCTATTATGGGTTATCATCATCTGGCATCCGAAGCTTCTCCCCTCCCACAGCTACCCCTTACCATTCTCACTCAGTTTGGGGTACGAGACTTTTATCAAGTGTTTTTATTCGTATTTTTTGTATCGATGCGGTGCGGGCTTCTGGGAATTTCTTGCCGTGCAATAAATAAATAAGCAAATTTGCATTCAGCTCAAATACAAAAACAAATGCATAAATAAATGAAAGCAATTCCAAAAATTTCGCACACACGACCTCAATGAGTCACAACAACAGTGCCTCCGCGTCACCCGAAAGAGACACCTCTCTCCGCCCCACACCCTCCTCATGATCCCACAAATTGCACAGAAAATAAATGTTGAGGCGCAAAAAATTTCTGTAAGACAAAAAAATCCACACAAAAAAAAAAAAGAAAAAACTTTGAAATGTTTTGTAAACAAAAATGTTAACCAAAAAACAAGTTCGGAATTCCCTTTCTCTGTTTTTTTCTCGGTTGCCGCCTTTTAATTACAGCTAAAATATTGGCCACAATAAATTTGGCATCCGATTTTGGGCGAGGCGCTCCGGCTCCAGCGGCAACACAGACAGAAGAGAACTGAAGGACCGAGGACCTTTCCCCAGAGCTATTTATGGGATTGGCATCGAATACCGATTTGGGTACGGAATGGGTTTATTGAACTGCCGCTTTTGGGTGGAGTGTTGTTTGTCTGTCATTCTTTTGGGGGGGGTCTTTTGTGAGTGATCTAACTCTGGAGTGGAGGCGGAGAGCACAGGCGTTTTAGAGAATATCAATTGAATTTAATGGTACGAGCATGTTTCTTGGAAAAGATTTATTTGGGTAATATTCAACTTGCATTCCAAGTGATCTTAGGGGTCGGACCTGTGAAAGAAAGCCATTTGTAGGACAAATTTTATAGAATTATTTAATATAAAATCGATCAGATATCTGACGCTCGATCACGACTTTCCGATGCCTTTTAGATTTTAGAATTCCCAAAGATCTTCCAGTTTATCTTTCAGATTATTTAGCCGTCTTTCAGTTATGTTTATCTGAGAATTAGATAGTTTTTAGTCTATCTGCTGTTCATATCCTTCTTGTAGTAATTTCTCTGTCTTTGGCATACCTTTTTCTATCCTTTTTTACAGCATTCCCTGGAACTCTGGACGCGTGCTGTGTGAAAGAGTTTCCCGCAAATTCCTCTACCCTCGACCCTCCCTTTGGTGTTCGCATTTCACCCGCTGTGTCAACACTCCTTCTCTACCGAATGGCCATTCAAATCGAGCGATCCTCACCTGCCCTGCTGCTCTGCTGAGGGTCCTGCTTCTCTCTGTCTCTGTCTTTCTGTGCTGTTGGTATCGGATCTTAATCCAACAAACAATGCAAAAATCTTTCTCCTGCAGCCTCTTTCACTCTGATCCACTCCATCTTTCTCTCTCTCGTTAAGCCTGTTCATGCCCCTGCTGAAAGACTAAGTATGTTTGCACATAATTGCAGCCCGAATCGAAATGCATTTATCCTGCCAGGTAAGCAGGCAGGCAGGCAGGCAGGCAGGCAGCAGGAGCACTCTAAAGGAGGTCTAAGAAGAGGGCCTCTAAGACAGATGCCCAACGGATCGAACGACCGACCACCGCGTTGACGGCAGGTGCGCGAAATTTTCGTGTGTTGTGCAAAATCGAGGCCAAAACGAGGCGCAAGATCTGCACACAAATGAAATGGAATGAAATGAGGTTTAAGTGCAAGATGGCAGGACGATTCCGTGCAACGAATTCATGTAATTTGCCTGCTTTTTGGAGGGACCTGCGGCAGCTGACATCTGTTCCTACGGCAGCAACACTTACAGAAGGCAAAGGAAGCAGCAGCAGCAACAGCAAGAGCTAAAGAAGAGGCAGGGAGCGCAGTGGCAGTAGCAGCAGCCGCAGCAGCAGCAGCAGCAGCAGCAGAGGGGCAGGGCGCAACACGTGGCAGGTGCGAGGGATGACGATCGAACGACTGCTGGCTGGGCTGGGCTGGGGGGCTCCGAACGTTGCAGCTGCTGTTTGTGTGCCGTCTTCTGGCTTTGTATTTGCTTTGCGGCTTTGTGGCTTTGTGGCAGCTGCCACGCTAAGGGGCAAGCTAGCCAGCAAGCATTTCTGGCAATTATAAAGTCGAGCAACAGTCGACGGCAGCAGCCACCAGGAGGAACAAGGATCATTGAGCCCTGCCGTAGCACCTGCCCTGTCTTTTGTTGTGGAGTGATTGACCTCTCCTCCGCTGACTCCTCCTCCTCTGACTCGTGTTTAGTTTTGAATGCGACTCTTTTGTATAATAAGGAGAATTATCTCTAATTAGGCCATATTTATTGATGTTTTTGTTGTGGCTGTGGCTGTTTGTTGTTTGCTGCTGTT